TGTTCTCATATTTAAACACAGCCCTGGAAGGAGCACAGTGGGTTAATTACTGTTGGATCACATGAGTTTGCATAATGCACACGCACACACAACAACCATTGCAGAAAAATGCCTGAGACGCCCATGCAAGGTGGCAGCTGTGTATCAGCCATCTGCAAGTGTCACCACTATAACATTTTCCCCATTGAATACAGGACAAAGGAAATTACTTCTGCCCCGCCGGGCCTGATAACAGTGCGCCGTGTGACCGCTGAACAGTCAGAATACAGATCAGCCACATCCGAGGGACAAGACAGCGAACGCTGCGTGTATTTTTGGCCAGTTTTTCTAAAGAAACAGTCCGCAATGTGCCGTTCTAGCGCGTTTTCGCAATCAGCAGGCGTAACTGCATAGGAACATAGTGTAATTTAAAGTTCTGGTGCAGAAATGCACAAGTAAACGCCACCAAACATGCAGCTGATTACATTTTATTGGCCTTTATTAGTTAGTGTGCTATTCGGCATGTATCCGCTTATTCAAACGACGCTTATTTAAACACAATTTCAACTTTTTCAAAAGCAAGTCCGTCTCTTCATGTTGCGCTCTTCCTCACTGAAAAGACGGAACAGTGGGCGGTAACAGACAGAGAGAAATACATTTTTAACTAACACCACATCAAATAAATACTCTATTTGGTGTTTTAATGGTCGCCGAAGTGGATAACTGCTAGAATACCACCAGACAGATGCAGGGTTTTGCGCGTGTGTCATTCATTTTCGGTAATTTTAGCGTTAATATAAAACAGTCACAATCTTCAATGGAGTATGGGTTAGTAACCGTGCCCGCACACTCACCAATTGATGTCAGTGTTATCGTCCCTCACTTGGTTGTAAGCCTCTCTGCAAGCCTCTTTATCGATCTGGGTTGCCATTTTTCGGATGGAGAAGTGTTAGGCAGGCAAAATGAGCGTTGAATGGGTCCGAACCAGGGAGGGCCAGCTACACGGTACTAAAGCGGCTAACTTGCACAGTGGATGCTACACATCAGAGACCTAGAACCGATAGCGTTTCACGGCGGGCTTCAGTCGGAAATCACGACCACTGCACTGGAACAATCAAGCCGGTCAGACTCAGCGGGAAAAGACGGCTGCTCTTCTAGCAGCTCGGTTTATTTCCTGTATGTTACCACTTTATGGGCGTGGGTGATGTTAGTCAATCAGGTTGCCAGCAGACAGACAGAGAAGCTCCCCCAGACGCAGCGTTCACCTCCTCCTGGTCAATGAGCGTTTAGCAAAAGAAGCGCTGTCAAGGCAACGGCGACAGGCAGCGACACTTTCCGGCAGGGATTTTCTAAACAAAATCAAAAGCAGCAAGTTCTCAAAAGTGACTTGAAACCAAATTTAGCCATTTTACCATGAAATGTTATTATTATAAATAATAATATTATTATAGGTTTCTATTAGTAATCACTACAGGTAAAACGTCCTTTTTGTGGACAAGAGATTTTCTTTGAATTTCTTTGAATTAACAGAAACTTTCTGTTTCTATAATTCTGTATATTTCGCGATCACGTGGGCAGTAATCCTGATTCTGAGCCTGGTTGTGCGGAAGATTTCTTCTTGTTAGTAAGGGAATAAATAAATATGAATTCTCTTTCTCTCATTCTAATATTACACATTATATATCTTTTAGCGATTTGATTCCAGATTGACATTTCTTATTTAATTGCTCTTACAGTGAATGATTATTTTTATTGGCTCTGTTTATCAATACTGACAGCCAAAGTTCTGTCAGAAACATGAAAAAAAGTAAAAGTGCATCAAAAATGATTCAGCAGAATAAAAATAACTTTCACAGAGGAAAAGGTGTAAAAATGGAATATACAATAACTGTATACAATAACATGGGAATGAGAGCAATTTCTTAGCTTTTTTGGCATTTGCTCATTTTTATTTTAATTAGATACTTTTATTCTTAAGTTACAACGATCAACTTCCGGTCTTTCTTTTACCTACCAACGCAACTTTACACAGCAGAGTGCAGATGAATTAATTTGAGGAACAGGTACTAGTCTGACACAAAGCCACTGGTCATTACACTCACATAAACTACACCGTGAACCCACGAGCTGGGCTTAAAACATGAAATCCACTGATTAAATAGGCTAGCTAGAGGTCAAAGGTCATCTCGCTCCTCTTTGACACTGGCATAAGCCCAACTGAGCTGTACCTCCTGGTTTGTTTGTGCCTGCATCATCCTGCCACCTGCTGGTCGACCTGCTGTCGTCACAAGCTTTCATCAATCTTTCCTGCAAACTTAGACTCAGTGGTCCGCAATAACCACACAAATAACTATGTTAGACTGCAGGAGGGGGGCTGGTTATGTCTTCTGTCTCTCCAGCCTCATCTCCATCTGTCTGTCTCACAGTCTGCACCTGCTGCTACATGCAGGCTGCAGAGAGAGAGAGAGAGAGAAGATGTTCTCTCCTTATTAAACATCCTAAATATGAATATGACAGCTTGATAAATATTGTGTCCTTACTTTAATCACAGAAAGGCCGTGCTTGTGGGGCCTTCTGACAGAACTGCTTCCTTCCATTTTTCCACTGCTAGAGAAACTGTATTTAAAGTCCTCTGTTCTCAGAGCAGCTTTTCTAATAAGGAGCTGTCCAAGCAGCAATGGTGCTTTGTTCATAACTTTTGTCTTTTTTTAGCCTTAACTTCAAAACATCACAGTTTGGAGAGTTTTCTTAGATTCACATTTCACTACAGAAGCTACTTTTTGCACCAGAAACACTGAGTTAAAAAAAGAAGTGGCTGCTATGGACTAGGAAGGTAGAGTTAGCATCTCTAAACATTATTACACAAGGAACACTGCTGTCGTGATGGGAGTTACTCCATCACAGTAATCGCCACAGCGAAGCCAGGAGCCAAGTTTCTGAGCCAAGCATTCCCCACAGCATCGCACTTCATCCACCTGTTCGTGTTCCTCCCATAGGGCACCATGCTCCTACCTGGTCTCCAGGTAGCTCTTGTGCAGTCAACTCTATGACGTAAAAGAGGCAAAATTGCTCCATGTTTTAACTGTGTACCAAACATATTCATAATAAATATATTACACTGAAAAATAAATGATTTTATCATGTCTTTTATCAATAGCTTTTGGGGCTTTTCATAGAAGTCCACTTCCTTTCTCTGTGTAACTCATTTTCCCTGAACGGGACAAACTTTATTTCACAAATTTAAGAGGCAGGGTAAACCCTGGACAGGTCACCAGTGTGCTGCACTCGGACATTCATGCCCACATTGTTTAACTAATATTATTTCCTTTCAGATTATTAATCGAGGTTAAATGTATCATAAAACGGTGACATTGTGACAGTCCTGCCACCCGATAGGCCTCCGTTTATCTCTTTAATATATGCATTCATTCATTCATTCATTCATTTAGCAGCTGTTTATCTAAAGTACGTCTTGAACCACCTCCATTTGTTTCAAAGGAGTCAGACTTGTAATGTTTTTGACGGTGATCTTTAGGAACGTTGTTTCCTTTCTTTCTATTTCCCGATATGCTCGTATAACGTAGAGAATAGACGGGTGGCGCAAGACTTTTGCACAGTACCGTTTGGCGTTGTTATTGGTCACTCAATCGCCTTCATAGTGTTTATGTAAATAACAACATCCGGCCTAAAGTCGTTGACTTCAAAATAAAACGAAGCCTCAAAAAGTTTTTTTTTGAACACTGCGTTTAGCTTTTAGTTTGTCTGGTAAATCGAACTTACTACTACTACTATTACTACTACTACTATAATAATAATAATAATTATTATTATTATTGTTATTATTATTATTGTTATATTATTGTTATTATTGTCAGTGTTGGGAAGGTTACTTTTAAAATGTA